ATCTGCAGGTTTGCCTTCAGATCCTTTACCTTCAGCCGTCTTCAGCACAGAGTTGCTGCAAGCTCCTTCGCCTTTGTAGTCAGCAAAGAGAAATAGGCGCTTTCAGGGCATGAGTCATCTGACCTATTTAGCCATCTTAGGAAGAGATGAATGAGTCCTTAAGAGGGCCCATTTCTTACTGCTGTCTAGACAGCCGAGCTCTCAGCTGCAGACGCCTACCCTTGCTCTTCGGGCTGGGAAGGACTGCTGCCTAATGGCGGGCTCCCGGCTCCAGCAAAGCATTGGCTCACACCTGAGTATGGAGGAGAGATTTGAGCTCAGCCTGGCTTTGTTCCCTCTCAAGGGAGGATTTCAACACCAAAAAGGTGGAAACCTACTTTTGCTGTATCTCCAAGGGAGGGTTTCGTGAAACTGGGCTTCCTCTGCTGTGACAATGTGGCACAGGGTCTGAATGTCAGTGAGTGGTGGTAGCCAAGAAAAGATGTTTTATTATTCTCAGCTAAACCAGCAAAAGTGGCTCAGTCATCCTGGTGGCACAGCTACATGACTGTGACTCAGTGCCAACACCAGCTGGTCTGGGATAAACTTGAGCCTGTGGAGCGCTTGGTCTTCACGAGGCAAAGATCATTCAGTTCAGAGAGTCAGCCTGTTCTAAGAAGAAAGCCCAACCACCAGGACAGTTTGTGATTCCTGGGGTTATTATGAATTTCTCTGTACAAGAGAACGAAAGTGTCCAAGTGAGTGGTGACCATCTCTTTCAGGTTGCCCGTGGGCCACTTACCTGTGGCTCTCTGTGAATCTGCATTTCTTTGCCTTGCCTTGCCTTTCCTTGCCTTGCCTTTGTTCACAAAGATCTGCAGATACCCACAAGATTGGTGGCATGGACTGAGAGGGACAGAGTGGGCATGGAAAGGTGGTATTACACAAACTAAAAAGGCTCTAACGTAGTTAAAACAAGCTGTGCGTCTAGGAACCAAACTGGTTGGCTGTGCCTAAAAGGGACTCTGGCAATGGCAAATGGCCCAAAGTCATCTTTTGTTTTAGAAGCAGGGGAAGAATGAGTCACAGCAGGGACTGGACTCACATCTGTCCTCCAAAACCCTGAAGCAGATCCTGAATGCTGTGGTGAGGCCTTGGCACATGTGTTGGAAAGCATGTTCTGGTACCAGAGACAGGCTCCAAGGCCAATGAAACAGCGCGAGAAAAGGCTCTATGCTGAGAGGCATTAGAGAATGCACTCCAGAAAAGGCTTCAGAAATGTGTTTTGGGGACCAAACCCCAACAGATCTCAGGGATGTCTTACCTCGGGCCCTTCTTTTGCTGCCCAGGAACCCACCATGCTTCAAGGACCTGGAACAGCCACAGCAGGGAGTCAAACACTGAGATTTTTGAGGTTTTCATTAAGCACCAGAAGAGGGGAGGTGTCACAGAGCCAAAAAGGATCCCCACCAACACCCATCCCATGCCAGCAGTGCATATGCAGAGCCAGCACCTGTTCAGAGCCTTGCCAAAGCAGGAGCCTGAGTCATGCCCTGGCTGTCATGAAGACAAGCAGACACTTTCAAAATTAATATATATTTTTATTGAATAGTTGCTCTAAGTGGGCTTGTGAAGCCACCCATAGAATTACTTCTTTCATCTCAGCAGTGGTTCAGTTATCAGTTATTAGCTTTGCAAAAGAAGAAAACCAAACAGAAGGAGGTGCATTAAAATAAATAGGTTATTTTTTTCTTATCTTTAAAATAAACTTTTGAAATAAATACTTTGTTGTTTTTTTAGAGGGTTTTTTTTGTTTTCTTTTTTTTTTTTTTTTTTTTTTTCCTTTTTAAATTTAAAAGAGTTTTTTAAAAAAAAAAAAAAAACAGCCATCAGGTTATAAACATGTATTATACCTTATAGAAAGGAACCCAAATAAAGGCAGCCAGGGAGGGATCTCTTTATACACTGTACAGAATGCCTTTGTACCAGTTAAATGGAGAATTAGAGGCTTCGGTTCTTGGTATGATGCTCTCCTTTGAAGCCAAGGGGATCTGTCTTCTTGGGAGAGTTTTGTGCTGAGGACACTGGGGAGGCAGGCGGCTGCCTGTCCACTGAGCATCACGAAGGCCTGAGGGAACTGCCAGGAGGTGGGAAGATGAGGAAGAGAAAGTGGACAGGGACTTCAGCAGGGAAGGAGGGGACCAGCCGCACCAGCAACTCATCGGGGAGGATTTGATTCCACTCCTTTTGAAGCCCTTTGTGTGTTTGCAAGAGGTCCTGGTGCTTACCAAGAAATACCCTGAAGCATGTGAGCCCATAGGAGGTCACAGCTTTGCTTCAGATATGAACCAGCCACCTCCAGCTGCTGTACGTATCCTAGAGGAGTGGGCTCCATGGGCTCCTAGGAGACCAACCTCACTTCATTTCCACCGAAGAACAAGAATGGAGTTTCAGGGGAAGATCTCTTCTCTGTGTTTCTTGTATGCCGATCACAGAAAGATAGACCTTCCCATAGCCAAAGACCTGTCAGTGTTCTCCAGCCTCAAAATACCCGTGGACCAGAATGAGAGAGAGCAAATGAACAGAGCAGGTGCTGGAAACAGCAAGCTTGGGGCATGGCATGCTCTTTCCTGGTGCATCCCACTCCTGTAAACCCAGTTCATCCCTCTTTATTGCACTACAGCAGCTGTCAGTAAACTGTAATTTTGTGCTTTGGCATCTTTTGGCCAACGATACTTCCCCACCATTCTGTTGGATCATATGTGAAGATAGGGGAGAGTTGACTCAACAGGATTTTATGGGAATCTGAGAATGAAATCTCAAAGACCTTCCCCCTCAAAATCCAACCCTGCCAACTGTTTTTTATGTCCTTGGCTGGCAACTGCTTTCGTGGGAGACAAAGAGCTTTCCCAGGGATGGGTGCCAACCTGAGCTACACCCCAAGCATCACCTACTTGCACTGAGAAGACTGGGAGAAATGGGATAGGATGTGTGCTTCAGGTTGGTCCACAGTGACTCCTCAAGCAGTGTGATCACACTGTATTAAAGGAGTGGAACAGGGCTGAGAGAAGCCATAGCACAAAGCAAGCACCATCAGGAGTCTTTGGAGAAGATGGGAAGAGCAGAGCAGGGGGAGCTCAGGTCCTGCTCAGCAGCTCCTGCCCTGCCTCCTGCTCCTTGGCACCTGAGCATCTCTCCTTAAATTTGCCCTGAAACCCTGCATGTTTCCTGGGAAAGGAGCCCATGACCAGCACAGAGGCACAATGTGGAGAAACGCTCTCTTGTGAAGCAGTTCCATCCTTGTCAGGTCCCAGGAGTGCGTGGAAAACAGAGGACTTGTCGTGCGACTCTCCAAACAGAAAACCAAGAAAGACACGTCGGGACAGAGAGACACCCAAACTGTCAGGGCAAGCAGCTGACACAAACATCTGGAGCAGATGTTATCTGACTCATTACAGGGTGGGGCAGGAAAGGGGCTCACAACTCCAACCAGAACTGGAGCCCTCTCTGAAGGGAAACCGAACCATCCAGCAGCCAGAAATGGGAAGGGAGCAGGATGGAACTGGTCTGAGGATATTAGGAAAAGCTCAGGAAAAACAAACATGATCAGAAGTTACCCACAGCCTTCCTGACACCAGATGGGCTCAGCGAACTGGAACTGGCATCTTCGGAGAGCTTTTGGCAAACGTCAGCTCTGAACATCTCCAGTCCATGCAACTGTAAGACCTCAACATGGCTCTGATTTACCTTCAACACAGTCCAGCTGAGGCTCTGCATGGTCTGACAGCCCTCTGTGCCCAACTGGGCCCTCTCCAATTCCCTTCCACATGCCCCATATTCCATAAAATATATTTCATGAGTTTGGCTTTTATAGGAGCTGAGACATTCAAGAGACCTGGCCAGACTCCTCAGCCCTGCACTCTGGTATGGCATGATTCCCTATTGGAAATGGAACTTCCGTGCTGACCCAGAAAAAGCCCATTAGGTAGACGGCATCCTGGACTCCTACCAATTGCTGAAGGTAAATATGCTGCAATAGTAGTTCTGGGTTCCACCTCACTGCACTATGCCAAGGCAAACTGGCTCTGAGGAGATGGTATCTGGACAGCCATCTTCTCATCCTGTGGCTCCAGCACCTGGAGGAGATCACCCCATGCTTGCATGACTTGAGAGGCCGTGAAAATTATGAAGCTTCACATGTTGAGTCATTCCACCATCAGGAGAGGAAGCAATGATTTGCAGAGATACAGAGGTGGTAACTAAATTTATAAGACGGCTCCACTTAAAAAGGAGGAGGAAAAAAAAATCAAAGTAGAGCAAGTTGGAAAATTCTGTTCATTAGTTTTCTTCTGAAAGTTTCAATGAACTATTTCCCGTTGTTGTTGAAGTGAGCCAGTTCCTCAAATCCTCAATGAAAAAAAAAAAAGGGACTTTTTCCCCTAAAAAAAAGTTTTGCACTTTTTAGGAAGAATAAATTTAATCAGCACCAATAGGTAAGTGAAAAGAAAAGGAAGGATGCCTCTCGGTGGAAGTCTCTCCTCCAAACATCACTTGGAAATACCCAAGTGCCAAGCAACTGCTGGCATATGGATAAATACACTTGTGATGTATTTTATAATTGCCACAGAGATGGACTGATCTTGTGTTGGAACAGACATGTAAAGGCTGCTGTCTGAGAAGGTCATTGCCTTAAAAGCCAAATGGCAAAACTGCACAGGCATCATCTTCTCCCTCCTTATCAGAACAAGATCCTTGCTGTAAGCCACTGCATCATCCTGAATTCTCTACTGCTCACAGAGGTGGGCACTGCATCTTTAGAAGCATCTTCCATCAATGCCCGTTGGGCTCTGAGAGAAACCAGGATCAGGATTTTGGTCATGCCCATACCACACCACAGGCACAAACTCTCCACCAGGGATGGGATTCACCTCCCCTTCACACCATCAACATGTAGCTCCCTTAGAATCAAAGGAGTCAAGCACCAGCAGCACACATTTTAATTAATGTTTCTGAGGAGGATGAATCACTCCCTGGAACTGCTTTTTTTTTTTTCCTTTTTTTTTTTCCCCTGCAACAGAGGGAGCTTGGATCAGCTGTGATTTTTAGATAGCAAATGTATGGGAAGATGAATCCCATCAAGAAATGCTACCTCCTGGCTCATCCCACAGCCAGCACTAAATCCTACTCCCTCTCTGCAACCTCTATACCTCCCTCTCCCCCTCACCCGACTACCTAGGAACTCAAGGTCTAGGATTAGCGATAAACAGATCAGGAAATCATCTTCCAGAATGTGGAAGTGTACCAGGAAGCCAAACCTTGCATCTGGCACCATTCACAGCAGTATCATGGATATTATTAGTAATAGTCCTAGCCATCCTAACGTTATATTTATATATACAAAAATAGATCCACAGGACTCTACGGAAAGAAGTGGCTGAGTGAATGCAATGGGCAAGCCCTGGACAGCAGAGTCTTGGAGGAAGCCAAGGGAGACTTTGCATATATTTATCCAGGGGAATCATTTACTTCCCTCTGCACACACTTGTGTCTCAGAGGAGTGACAGCCTTGGGACATAATCCCAGCCCCAGGCTCCCCTGACCCACCAGTGGCAAGCAGAGATGGGGCTGAGCCCAGGTCTGGAAGAATCTACCCACAGCTGCAGCAATGGGTTTGGCTTTTTAGCATCACAGCACATAAACCATGAAGCACTGCCCCCATATCATGGTCTGCAGATGGCTCAGCCCAACGGCTCCATTCAGCCCCATCCCACTGTTACAGAATACTCTCAGCAGTGACAGTGCTGTGGCATACTGATGGCCAAGGAAAGCAAGATGAGGGCTCAAAGGCAATTTCTGCAGGGAAGGAAGGTTGGGGTCCCATCTGCGGAAACTCCCTTCAATGCTCTGTTTTCCCCAAGCCAAAACAGGACCCCCACCTTGGATCAGTGCTAAGCAGCGGGGAGAGAAGAGCTGGCTGTCGATAGTTGGGTTTGGGGACTTTTTTAAAGTGATTTCAGTGCTGGTGGAAGGTACCAGACAGGCAGAAGGCAGATCTAGGGAACAGGGTGTTGGGACAAAGCTCTGTCCCCATGGCTATTTCACCCTAACCTCGAGGACAAGCCTGGAAGTATAGAAAGGGAGCTGCATCTGCTCAGTGGTGGGATGGAGATGGGTGATAATATCATCTTCTCTCCCATCCCATCATGGTTTGCACTTTGGAGGAAGACCCTTCACCTTCAGGCATAAAGAAAGTAATAATTGTTCCAAACCAGCATCCTGCTCTCCATCACATCCCAGGGGAACCTTCCCCTCACTGCAGCTGGGCAGCAGCTGAAAGGTTTGAAATCTTCCCACAATTTCCCTTCCTCTTGGAGGCAGGAGAAATGAGATGCCTTCTGACTGGCATCTCTTGATGGCTTCCAAGCAGGCAGGGAGGCTGCTGCTGCTTGGTGGGACCCTGCAGCACCTGGAGGATGAGGGATATAGGCAGTGGGAGAAAATGGAGACCACCCCTGAAAAGTGCTGGAAGGAGAGAACAGGTCCAGGCTCCTGGAGGACTCTAGCTTGGGATGCATGACCCCAGCTCCTCCTACCATGGGAAGAGCCATGGCCCAGGGACCCTGAGTCTCATTCCTTGGAGGAAGGCAGGGGGCAAGGGAGCGCTGCAGAGCAGGGGCAGCCAGAGGAGAATGGGGATGAAGGGGAGAGGATCGGGAGGAATTGTCTGCTTGTCCTCCCCAGGAGGGTCATACCGGCTTATCCAGCGCCTTGGGGAAAGGCGTGCCGCTGGAGGAGGAGATCTTTCTGCACACCGTGTTGGTGTGGGTCTGACAGCGGCAGCCAGGGCGTTTCAGGCCATCGTAACCCCGCTGGCAAAGCTTGAGGCACCCCAAGGTGGGAAAGTAGCAGCAGAGGCAGGGCATGAGGAGGGAGAGGAAGCTCATGGCAGCCCAGCGGGCGCAGCAGGAGCCCGGCCCGCAGGAGCACGGGTCATCAGCGCAGGTGTCCTCGTCATCGCTGGAGCAGTGGTAGAAGAGGCCCTTGACGCAGCAGAGACAAGTCCCGTAGTCGAGGAGGCTCTCTGGGGAGCAGAGGCAGCGCTGATTGCACAGCCAGCAGGAGGGCAGGCCACGGGCGGCCGTGCAGCGGGCACACTTGCAGCGCCCGCACTCCTCGCAGACGAAGAGGTGCCCGCCGTGCAGGCTGCCCTTCTCCGCCGCCCCTTTCAAGGGAGATTCCTCCGCTTTCAGCTCGCCGGCCCTGGGCTGCATCCGGATGAGCGAGTGGCCCGAGTGGGACGGCGTCAGGGCGCTGAGCAGGCGCTGCTCGGAGGCTGTGGTGCTCTGGGACACGGAGCTGGCTGTGCTGGAGTGGCTCATGGCTTGCTGCAAAGGCGGCATGTGGGGCTGCTGGCTGTGGCTGCGGTGCAGGTCCTGCAGCGTGGAGGATGCCAGGCGGTCCTGAGTCCACTCCTGCTTGTGCGGTGGTTGCGAGAGGGACGGGTTGGAGTGGGCTTGCTGGAAGCAGGTGGCTGGCCTCTCCACGTAGTTGTTGCTGGCACGGATGGAGCGGATTTGGTCGATGGACAGGACCTGCTGGAAGTCCTCAACCGGGGGTTCCATCGTCTCGTCACAGCTGAGTTCAGCCACGCTGGAAGAGAGCTGCATCGCCAGGAGCTGGGGGAACCTGCAGCATCAGGGCACATCTAAAAGTCCTAAAGGATGAGGTGGGAAGAGAGAGGAACATTTGTGTTATGCTTCGTAACGGTCCATCCCTGCAGCCCACTGAACTCCTAATGAATTTCATAATCACAGAACATTTGGGTCAGGAGAGACATCAAAGCCCATCTGGTTCCAACCCCTGACATCAGCTGGCTGCCCCCACCAGCTCTGACTGCCCTGGGCCCCATCCCACCTGGCCTTGAGCGCCTCCAGGGATGGGGCAGCCACAGCTCTCTGGGCAGCAGTGCCAGGGCTTCACTGCCCTGAGTAAAAAATTTCTTCCTGACATCTTATTCCTAACAAACAACTCGAGGCACTGCTGAGCCCAGGAGGATGTTGGCGGAACATTTCTAAACATTGGGACAGTGAGATTTGTCCCTTGGCTCAGGTGGATGCAGCATCTTCCCATGCTCTGTGTCCTTCCACAGAAGGTTCCCCAACTCTTGCCAGCACCAATGGGCACTGCCTGTCCTCCCTTGAGGAGGGGAAGCTCAGTGCTGAGACCTGTCCAATGATAGAGCTGGGAACAGCATCTCCAGCTCAGGAAACTGTCATGAACCAGGGCATAGGAAAACTATCATGAGCCAGGGACACAAGGAAGGAGGGGAACAAAAAGCATTCAATTGCAAGTAACAGCAACAAATCACCACTAATACAGCACGTGCTTGGCCGGGGTCTGGGAATCACCAAGACCTCACATTTTGTAGTGTCATGCCCAGATTTCCCATTCACATCCCCATCGCAAAAGAGCAGACTTCTGTTTAACCCCAAAGCTGATATAAGCATCTTGCCTTGTTCCTACACCAAAGCTGCCATGCAAAAATGGAGCAGCTATGCGGATGTGCTTCATTGCATGCCAGTACCCCCAAGAACTTCCAGTCCAGATTTCAATTGGATATATGCTTTGTGTGCACAGCCAACTTCCCTGGAACAAAGCTGTTCCCTGGCAGATCAAACATCTGATCCGCGGGTGACACCGGCTTTGTCACAGTGCCCACAGGAAGGCTGTTCTATAGGAGCTCCTGTGGCCAGCAAAGGCCAGCAAGTAGGTGAGGGGCCACAGGTAAATCTGCTCATGCAGCAGAGAGAGGCAGAGGGAAGATTGATTTTCATTAGCTAAGGCTGACCTTGAAGTGCAGGAAAAGCAAAGGCAACTTACTTTGACAGTTAAAGCAAGAAGTGCCCTCTCCCATCCCCCTTTCCGGAAAGAAAATGCAAGCATCTGCTTAAATTTGTGGGCTTTTTTGTTTTTTTTTTCCCTTTGCAAGGAGCCCACTTTCAAGCCATCCTGAGTGAGATGCTTGTCCCATGCAGAGCAGTGTGAGTGGTGGATAGCTCACTGTTGGATACCCACAGCCTACTGGGAATGGATTTCTTTAGTGGGAATACAAGGTGAATACATGGATAACCCAGCATAATCTGTGAGAGCATGTTTCCAGGACAGGAATGGGCCACGCAAGCCAAGCTCTCACTGAAGCACAGTCTGAGGAGCTGCAGTCCCCTGCACCCCTGAAAAGATGGGATGAGTCTCAGTCTGCAGATGGAACCATGCAACAGGGAGCATAGCAGCTTCAGTGGGTTCCTGCATCTCTCAGGACCGGGATCCCATCTCAAGGAGCGTTAGGCTGACTGACATCCAGTGCAGCTGGAGCTCCTCACATCTCAGTGTCCATCCCCTGCATTTGGGTGCTGGGTTTGGTGTGCTTCGGCATTAGGACTCAAACCAGGAAGACAGGGGGCTCTGGGCAGATTCACATAGGGGGCTGAAATTGAGATGTGACCCAAAGGGAGAGACCTGGAACAGCAGAGTCTGTGGGGATGGAGATGGTAGAACTGGGAGACTGAGAGCAGCCAAAGGGCAGCTACTCCCACCCAATCCCACATGCAATAAGTAAAGACATGCTTAGGCAGGAGGAGCAGTGTGGAGGATGCTGCAACATGGGGGGGAAAGGAGGCAGACAGGAGCTGGCAATAGGAATACAAGGCACTGCAACCTGAACACTTAAAATCTGGATCCTGGACTTGGATGCAGCACCTGAGACACCTTGGAGAACCCATGGCACCAAACCTGGATCCAGGTGCTCCTGGACCTACAATCCCCAGATGCAGGAGTTAGACAAAATGTCTCTTTCTGGGACCTGAGTGAACACAAGCTGGGGTGTCCACAGGGAGATGGAGGAACTAGGGATCCCCTGGTCCAGTGGCATGGGGGCGAGGGGGACTGAAAACCCAGGGGGAGGACCCTGCTGTTGCCCCACAGAACCCCACTTGCTCCAATCGCTCCTTGCTGGAGGCACGGGGGGGGGGTTGCAGCAGGTCCCTGCCCTCTTACCACAGCACTGCCACCCCTTCCCTGCCTGGAGCTGGAGCTTCCCTACCTGCCTGTTGGGGGGAGCAGGACAGCATGTCCCCAGCATCCTCCTCCTCACACCCTGCCTGCCAAGCGGGCATGCCAGCTCCGGAAACCGGGTGAGCTTTATGACCGGCAGCAGCCCCAAACATATAAAGTTCGTGTGATAATGGGCCAGAGGAAGGATAGTAAAAGCAAATGATTTACAGGCACTGGAGGTGGCTGCGAGCTGGGGACGAGCTCTGCAGAGCACTCCGGTGGGAACAGAGGGGGCTTCCTCCATGCAGGACCCCCTCTTTCCCCACACATTGGCACATGCATGGCCAGATCCCTACCTGCAGCCCCCCCACATACTCTTGTCCAGCACTTCACGCGTGGATCCCCGTGAATGCTCCCCACGACCCAGCACCTCCACCGGCAGCCACGCGTATCCCACGCTCCATGCGTGACCAAAACCCCACGCACCCACCCGTGTCCCGTACCCCACTCACCCCGCCGGCCGCTCCATTCGCCGTGCCCAGCCCTAGGGGCCGCCGGGCGGCACGGGCATGGGGCACCGGCCGCCCCCCCCGGCCCCGCAGCCGGGGGCAGCGAGGCAGAGCCCTGCAGGGCTGCCCGGCTCGGGTTTGTGAATGCAGGCAGGTCCTTGTGAATGGGGGCAGCGTGGAGGATGGGAGGGAGGAAGGGAGGGATTTAGTGCTGCCCGTTAGCATCTCTCCCTCTCCCTCTCTCTCTCTGCCGCTCGCTTTCCCGGAGCTGGAGCTCTTAATGCTTACCTAAGTGGCGTCATCCAGCTGAAATTGAATCGGCCCATTAGCGGTCCCCATAGAGCCCTGTGCATCCGCTCCCTAGATAATGACTGCAACAGAGCCGAGCGCTGCGGGATGCAGCAGGCGCTATTTAAACATTTCCGTCTCTTCTCCGGCTCTGCTTCCCCCCTCCGCGCCCACCGGGACAGCCCCGCCGTCCCCGTTCCTCGGCCCCGGGGGACACAGGGACAGCCCCATATAGCCCCATCCCATCGGCACTCGTGGATTTGGTTTATTTTGTCATCACCACGGGCATGGTGTGTCGGAAGCGCCTTGGGATTGGCAGCACAAAGCAGGGGATGGCATCGACCTGTGCTGTCACCTTGATGCATGAATCACTGTGCTTCGGGCACTGACACCTGCTCCCCAATCCCAGTCACCTCTTCTGGGTATTTGGGAGGCATCGGCAGGAGCCTGGATGCCATCCAGAAAGTTCACACTAATTCCAAATTAATGTTCAAAGCTCAAATGGGATGGAAAGGGGCTTTGCCACACTCTCCAAAATCAGCCCCACAGCCGCTGTTCTCCCAGAACAAAATCCCTCAGACTCTGGGTCCAAGCAGGACATGGACCTTCTGTCACTCATATACCCTGTGCTCCCTTCTCGTGCTGCCTTCTGTGAGGCTTGGGCACACTGAGGACCCTTGTGACACACCTGGGGCTCATCCAGAAATTAGCAGGACCTGGGTTAGCAGTCCTGAGGACACAAGACTTCTCCTTGGTGACACTGCACACAGCTATGGAGCCAGCTTGAGCTCCTAGCCTCTCTATTTACCCCTCAGCCCTTCACAAATCCTTTCAAGCAGTGCTTTCTGGCTGAGTGAAGCATGATTAGCAGCTCAAGGGGGCTGAGGACCCATCTTCAAGGAATTAGGGTGAAGACATCAGGAACCAGCACCCTTTGCAAGCTCAAGCAGCATGGGAGCCTGCACCCAGGGCAGGTCACCACTCAGAGCTGGCCCAGCATGACTGGATGTGTGGCTGGAGAAGAAAGATAAGGGTGACAAACAGCCCTGCCACTCGTTGCCTGACAGATGGGCTTCAACCAGGATGACCTTACTGAGCTCAGTGGCTCTCTCTCAGTGCATGCCAGCAGAAGCCCAGCACAGTGACAAGGCACCCTGCTCTCTGGTGGTACACAGATGCGCCTGTCCACACTCGTTTGTAGTCATTTCAATGCTGAGCATCCCTCCCGTGGGGATTGGGGTCTGCACGGGATGCTTCCAGAGGTGCTGCAGCAGGAGTGGGGAACAGACTCCCAGCAGCATCATCCCACAGCCAAAATGCCACATCCCCCTCCAACCAGCCCCTCCTCTTCATCACATCTCTCCCAGCTCAGGTTTTAAAGGGGCAGAAGGGACCGAGGTGCCCAAACCCCAGCGCCCGCCCCCAAAAAAGCACGTGTGCGCGTCCTCCCCTTCTCCCAGCCCGATCTCTCGCTCCCACCTCAAGGCGTGCAGCAATTCGGGCTTTCCCTCCACCGTCTCGCAGCATCCCTGCAGCCCGCGTCGTGCTCAGCGCCCCTTTATTCCTCGCCCGCCTGCTGCCGAGGGAGGGCCAAAAGGCATGAATGCCGAGATGCCGAGACAAGTGGGAGGGTGGGAAGCAAAGGGAGAATAGCAGCCTCCTGGGGAGTTATTGACCACAGCATCTCCGAAGAGATGGGGCTGGGAACTGGGATGGATTTACAGAGAAGAAAAGTTGAGGGGTGCTCCCGAAGTGTCTGGGGCAGATCTTCCATCAGGTTCTGGTGGGGGGGGGGAGGGGGGAGGTTCACAATTGGGATAGGAATGTGGTCCCTTGACTGTGCAGTCATAGCACAGAGGATGTTGCTGTGAGTGCCCTGCTCTATGATAGCCTTTCCTCATGAGAGCAGAGGATTTAGCATCCTGCTGTGACCTGTGTCCCTTGCTACCTGTGCCTGCCAATCCCATCTCCCCCTACGCCCTTTGGTTCACTGCTCCCGGCTGGAATCTGTCACATCTTAACCCCTCCAGCACCTCTGGGGTCCCATCCTAAGTAGCACCCCAGGCCCTGTTCTCTGGTCTTATTTTGGAGCATCTCCTCCTGGAACAGCTGACAGTATGGAGTTATCCATCTTCCCATGCTCAGTAACAGCTTAGAAAGGTTTTTAGATCTATGCACAAAATCATACCGATTTTAACAAAGCCAAAAGGGCTAAATCTGGAGCCTGAGGTGTTCAGCTGGGATTTAAAGCAGACAGGAGAGCCTCCAAGCACCCCGGTCCTCCTGCGCAGAACAGCTCATTGCAGTGATCAGCCCAGGGAGAAAATCCCAAGGCAAGGCTGAAGGTGTCTGATCTCTTCTGGTGCTCTTAGCCAGACCTGGGCACCAGCAGAGGAAAGATTCATCTTTGGTTAAAGACGATGCAGGGGGAGAAGGAGTAAGGGGGGTGAGGAGAATGTATGATTCCCCTGATTAAATCAGACAGAAACAAAGAGGTGCTGGTGCCCTCTAATTTCTAGATTCACAGATTTTAGGACCAGAAGGGACGGTGATGTTCATCTAGCCTGACAGACTGTATTATGTGAAAGCCACTTGAAGGCAGACAGCGCCAGCAGCTCTTTAGAAGCAGCAGCAAGTGCTGGGGAGGAATTAAAAGGCTGTGATTCTCCCAGGGTGAGAGATGTGGGGATCCCAAAACAAGCCTCGGTGAGGAAGAACCAGGTACATCCACCCCACCGTGCACAGAATGAACAGACGGCTGCACAGGGAGGGGAGAATCATCATTTCCCTTCTGCATCATGCAGTTCCTTCGCTCAGCAGGCAGGAGGGAAAAAAGCAAACCCTTTCTCATGCTTTTATTTTGTTGAATGTAGACACTTTTCCCTATGCCCTGGTGCATCTGGTGAGCAACAAGTGGTTCATGGGGTTCCACACCTCAGATTCCCTCACCTGGGTACCGAATTTCCCAACCCAATGGACACAGCTCATCCCTAGGAACGAAGCAGGAGGGCAGCTCCACCCTATTTCTTTGCCTTCATCCCTCGGAGCTCCCATTTCAATGTCACTTTAACTTGAACGCGTGTGTACAGGGGAGAAAGGCTTGGTATTAAATTGCCAATCTGGTCACATGTTGCCTGGGATTTGGCCGTAGCTAAGCAGCACCACCCCCGCATTCACTTTTTTGGCTGGTGACTCCTCTGCTCCGCGTAAGGCAGAGCTGGTGAAGAACTGGGGAGGGGAGGGGGGGGAAGGAAAAAAAAACAGAAAAAAAAAAAAAAGACGAGTCATTGTGAATGTCAGGAGCTCCTCAGCTGCGGGTGTGACAGCGATCCTCCCCCTCCAAACTCACTCCGGGCGAGAGCCAAAGGGAGAGGGATTTCATTAGGATCTGGTGGCGGGCTATTTTCAGAGCTGACATCCTACCCACAGCTAAAAATAGCTGGTCCCCTCCACGCAAACCAGGGTTTCTGTTCGGTTAAACTTTAATAAACCTCAGCAAGGCTCAGACCTTGCTTTCTCCCCACACTTCGCTCCCTTGCATGCTCCACTCCCATTGCTTTGCCCCGTCTCCATCCTTCATTCCCCTCCTCCTGGGTGTCCTCTCTCATCTCCCACCCATTGAGAGCCCATCCAAGGTTCTTGCTGCATCGTCCCAAAAGCACCAGGGCCACCAAACCAATTGCAAAGCAGCAGGACCTTGCTTTGTTCAGTCACAGAGAGCCCAGGTCATCTCTAGGAGGAGCCTAGCCTAAAAACCGTGTCCAACCACCACTGCTGGTCCTCATTTCTCCGTGGGCTGCTGGTAATTCCCTTCCTTCATTAGCACCGTCACCCCACAGGTATTTATAGCCATTTATAGCCATTTATAGCCTGCACTGACCCTGCTTTTTAACAAAAACACGAATTTAACTCCTCCTGATGCTCCTCTTGCCTCCAGCCCATCCTGGTGATCCGAAACAACCCAGTTTGGAATAACCAAGCTCTTCCCTTCTTAATGTACATCCCAGTCCCAAATATCCCTTCTTTCTCTGTTCCCAGCATAGTCAAGATGCTCTGGGCTCTGCTGCCTTTAAGACAAGAGCAAAGGTTTGTTAAAGGATGCTCCAAGCATTCCCAGTTCTTCCAAAAAGGGGAATAGATCCATCTCTGCATCCTTTGCACCACATCCAGTGCAAAGGCACAGGGATAGGACACAGGGGCAGTGTTGGAGGAGGGACAAGCTGGCATGCCATGAGAGCAGCAGGGACAGTGTCATCGGGACAGGGACGGTGTGCTTGCCTTCTGCCTCACGCTGGGTGCACGCCGGCCCTTTGGAGCCACTGGCCGCCAGCCAGCCAGCCATTTCCTGGTAATCTAATAGCCGCAGCAGATGAACTGAAAATGCATTTCCTGCCACCGTGCTGTAAAATTTTTTATTAATGTAAGGAGAGAAACGCAGCCCTGGTCCAGGGCTGCCAGGGTGGGGGGCATCTGCCTTGGTGGAGAAAGTGGGGATAAACGACATGGGGGTGGTAACAAGGGGATGCTGTGGGAAGGTGGTGGGCATCCCCTGAGGACACACACAGAGGGAAGCACCAGGCAGGGGTTGTACTGAAATCCAGCCTTTGGTACAGATTCAGCTTCCCAGTCTTGCAGGAGCACCACAGTCCCTTCTCTGCCATTTCCAGCATTGCTGCTTGGGGAAGGATGGGGCCTGAGGATGGGGTGGCCTTGGGCTGCCTTCTGCCACCTTGTCTCATTCATGGAAAGCACATGTCTTGGTTCACCCTGGTGGACAGGGACGCATCCCTGGAGCTCTGCAGTCAGAATATGTGCCAAGCCAGGCATCACTCACAGGGATACTGAGGCACAGGTAAGAGAAGTGCCTTTTCTAGAGGCTGAAGTGCCCCAGCAGCAACTTCAGGGCTAAAGAAAACCACAAGTGGGTTTGATGGCATCTCCTGGAGCACCCCCACCTCAAACCCCCACCTCAGACACCCCAGCCCAAGTCCCCTTATCCCAGTTGAGGCCATTCCAGTGCCACCTTGGTGGACACAGCCTCAGGACTGTGGGGCTGGAGACATTGGCGCAGCCCTTTTCCCACCCGGAACCTGCTTCCTGCGCCAAGGCAGAGCTAAATTGGAAAAACACACACAATGACCTCTTGTGG